TATTTGTCTTTCAAACGTTTACCAGTAGTTTTTAAGCTGAAAGTAACATTGCTCCGAAATGTATTAATTTTATATTGAGTAGAGTGTAGATTGATGAAGTAGAGATTTTTTACCCCAAATTACGAGGATTGTCCCTTTCACACAATGTTGAAAGTATTATCGATACAGTGTTGTCATATTTCGATATCTGTACATCAGAAATACTTATATAATTTTACAAAAAAGTTGATTCATACGTATAAATGTCGATTTGTTTTCGTAAGGACTTGGACCACCCTACATGTGTATATATTTTTTAACAACATGATGTACCGGTTTATCTAATCTTTCAAACAAAGTAAAACGTATGACACATTTATTGTAGATATTGTCTGGTGCGTAATGGTAACGTAAATGTCAATCTAAACAAATACCGAATATTGATTGTGGGTATCATTTACAGACGAATGGGATTGAAAAACCGATTATAAATCGTTTACTGTCACTCAATATTATTTAATAGGGAATTATTACGCATTTCTGACACGCGTGATAACGGCGAAGTTGAACTTAACATCACAATTAAGATTATTCCTATTATACGACAACAGTAAAAGCTTTTAATATCCCGTGCTCTAGCTTTAAAACTGGACAACAACTTGAAATCACTCCATACGAGATTGGGGTCTTATTTTGACAGATATGAAAAATGGAATGTATTTGTGATCGACCATTCTGCAGTTCCATGTGAAGCGACAGTGCGTGTGCATGACGTTACCATGGTAACTGTTGGGAACTATGATGCTCTGTTGAATTTAAGTGCCGGGTTGCGGCAGATTACAGAATTGTTCCCACTCAAGAATAATGCTGTTTTGTCAATAATGAAACCTGAAAAGCTCTGAGATGCTCTTAAGCGTCATTTTCTTCTGGGAAGATGCTTATGCTTGTTTGAAATGGGAAAAATTGATGAACTATATATGGTGTGTATCTCTTTGGAGATAGTTCTTCCTCAGATGGTAACAACATGTATTGTTCTTCCTTGAACGATAATTTCTTCTTAATTTCTCTTTAACGCACTTGTACATATATTTCGTGTCGTGATCTCGGCTTGACGTTTTACAAATGTGAATAGATGGAAAATTAGCGCTTATTTGGCGTAAAAGAAAATATTTGACTTAAAAAACGCCAAAGCATTAGGAATATTCATCCTCGTATCTGTGTCAAATGAAATGAAAGCTCATCTCTTGTTAATGACATTGTGCAAGTGCCTAAATGTTAAAGCTCTTCAATATTCGTGAACGAGAGTAAAGTCTCTGCAGTCAACAAATGCATTCAGGATTCTAAATGAACCATAGCTGCTTCGCAATAGAGTTGAAAAGAGTTGCATGTTAACACTGAACGGTTTGTATTTGAACTACAGGGAACAAACTTTGCTGATTGTACAATATACATTTCAATCCTCTTAGGACTATCCTTACTATCGAATGGTCATAAATCACCAGGTTATCAAGGTGCCCAAGGACTGTCTGCAAAGGGGGGCTAGACAGCTTCCATTTTATCCAACGGCAGTAAAGGTAGCGCAGCTGTAAATGTGTCTTCAATTCTAGACTTCTTAAGGGTATTTACCATTTTGCCCACGCAAACTATCTGTGCAAGTTGGGGCAGGGCACGCTTACCCTTTTCCCAAACACCTGGTGCATTACTGATTCTCAGCGATCCATTCATGTAATATTACCGCTATTTTGCCTTTTACGCTCCATGGAATCCGTTTTGTGGGAGGCGTTGAAGGTTTACGTCATATATTTGATATATATTTCTCTCAAATATGCAAACACTTGTATGGGATAAGTTAAAGTAATACTTGAATGGGTTTCATTAAGTCAGTTCGTCAGAACGGACGAAGTATTGATCATTTAGAGCCCTAAATACATGCTATACTATTTCCTCAACAGGTGCCTACATCCGACGTCTCAATGTCTTGGGATTTCTGGATGGAATCTGATCAAAGTATGCTTGTCGGATTTGACTAAAATGGATTCGGTGTTCAGGCTCTGTCAGCTGAATGAACATGTGGCATCGTTACTCGATGGCACGAATCGTTGTTTGTATGTTTCAGACTCGTTAATTAACAGGTCGCCGTGATAATCCTGCCTTGACGCTGCGTGAGACGTTAAACACCATTCATTAACCCCCCCCCCCCCAAAAAAAAAAAAAAAAAAAATAAAATAAAATAAATAAATACACATGGTAGCCGTGCAAAAGTGGCACATGCATTCAACGCGCCGCCAAACAGAAACAACATGATGATGTCTTGTTTAAAAAACAGACCAATCACCATATCCGATTAAACGATAAAGCAGATACACGCCCCTTTTCTGGGAATATAATTCACTCCAGATCACTGGATATCAAAGTTGTAAATACATATAAGTTTCAAACCTTTGAAAATCTTGTAAACACTTCAAACATATTGTTGCTATATTTGACAAATCGTTATCTTTGAATTTTCGTTGTTTCCTTTGACAGATCGTTTCTATTTTATACATCCATTTGACATTGCGTTTTTATCTTGAAATATTTTACATCTAGTTATATTTAGACACCCTTTACTATCGTTGGCATATGTCTTTGTTTTCTTATGCATACTTTGTTATGTTTAACATCGCTGTTATTCTGTAATCTACTTATCTTATCTTCGTTGACATTTATTTGAACTATCTTCTTTGACATATATTTGAACTATCTTCTTTGACACATATTTACTATATTTTGTAACGTATCGTTGTTATCGTTGACATCTCTTGTAATTTCCTCATTGTTATATTTGATATTCTGTGATTAAAATGTCATATCCCGCTATAATAGTTTTTATATCTTTGTACTCTATGGCATCTCCTTTTTATCGTTTGTCATATTGTTAACGTCATTTTCCATCTCGTTATTATCAATGACATATCGCCTCTGTATCTTTAATGGATAATATTAGCGTTTAACGAACTGATTTTAGCTTTTGATATGTGGTTATATTTTATTTCTTTTGCAGTTTGTATATCTGTTTGCTAATAGTGTTTGGTAATAATAATTATTATGTCTTTGTAACGTGTTGTATTTCGTCGTTTTTGCACTCAACATGGGATTGAGGGGTTGCCCCAGGAATATGGAAGTAGCCCGTCAGTGTATACGTCATGTCAAGAAAACAGTCTCGTGAAAAACTTATTACTGGAATATTGTGTTGTTCATACACTTATGAACGTCAATTTCGCAGTCATGTGACCGACGTCTCAAGCTGTATAAGCTGGAAAAGCTGTATATCGTGTAAACTTCACATTATCAATTTGTTAAAATGATGCCGCGCTAAACAACCGGTAGTATGATAAGTGTGTGTCCATACATTTATATTAACGAGAGAGACAATACTCAGGTGACAATTCACTAGCCTTTGCATGTATTTGCGACGGGTGCCACATGTGAGGCAGGATACGCTCACCTTTTCGCAAACATCTGGCACCATCACTATTTGATAGTGATGCACAAACACATGCTAATGATGTAGTCGGAATCGTAAAATCGACTGTTTCTTTTCAGAATATTTCTTATGAATATGGAAATGGTTTTGTCGCTTTTATTTATTACCAATATTTGCTGTCATAATATCATAACAATTTTATTGCAATAACGACGTTATATCCCACTTTTGCACGCACTATCTATATTGAAATAGCAATGGAGCGTTTAAGTATTACAATACCATACATTTACTATTGTACAGTTGCTCCCTAGAGTCACCAATAATAATATTTGAAACTTATTTATGCCAATGTCGTGTTATACCAGCCTCCCTTGCGTAGTACTATTTCTGTAAAACATGCATGATTCTACTTATGCTTTTACTTACCAAAGTGGTTGATATATTCATTACTATTATTTTGAGTTGAGACAGATTGATGTGTTCTTATCTTTGTCACGAGTATGAAATAGCCGCTAAACCCTGGAAAAAGCAATAATAGGTCTTCTTTGGCTTTGCTCAAACCTGCAAGGGAATATGATCTTACCGTCATGCGGAGGTAGTTTTTGTCCATATTTATTAAACGTCTGTGATGTTTTGTACAGTATTATAACAAAGGATTTGAGGAACATTCATTGAAAGTTAATTACAATACGAACATGATCATTTCTTTCATTGTATATTTCATTACAATATTGAGTAGCGAAAACGTTTGTATGAATTCTTGAAATAACGCTACTGAAGCTAATAACCTCTGAGGGCAAGGACTGGCATCAAGAACTAATGTACCAACTATTGCTCATACTCTACATGCCTCTATAAAATCATACCCAGACGAAGATACCCCAGTTTAGTGAGTGAGTATGGTTTTACGCCGTTTCTAGCAATATTCCAGCAATATCATGGCGGGGGACACCAGAAATGGGCTTCACACATTTTACCCATATTTGGAATCGAACCCGGGTGTTCGGCGTGACGAGCGAACGCTTTAGCCACTACCCGACCGCACCCTTTAGATAGACGAGTGTTCAAAAAGCATGAACAAATATTAAGTCGACCAATAACATAGATCATGCAACTACTCTCCACATACAACATGGTACTCAAACTGAGTGGAACCCTAAAACATATCAAATATCAATCTGTCGTTCTATTACACACACACACACACACACACACACACACACACACACACACACACACACACACACACACACACCACACACACACACACACACACCACACACAGATACACACGCGCGCATACACCACTCATTAAGTCAGTCTTCCACACTCCTACCATCCCATTTGCTATGAGAGATGACAACTGTCGCTCCCATATTGACAGATCGCAAAGAAAGCACTGTCTAATTCCATAAAACAATCGCCTCATTTGACTCACTTTGCGACCCCTGCTGGGTGCTGTGGACGGGTATTGGTTTACCCGACTGATAATCAGCAATCACGTGACTTCTGGCTTTCGTCAAATCAATTCGTAAGACCGGAGATGTCAGGGAGCGTTGCGGAGTTTACCACAAGAGTGTGGGCTTACTATAGGTGGGTGTGGGAGAGCGAGGGACTCAGCATCAGCAACAGGCGAGAGAGACTGGCTATAAATTATTAAGTCGATCGTGGCAATAGCACAAGTCATAGCAGGAGCGACAGTCCTACTCTAAACAGGAAGGAGCTCTGCACGCGTAAAGGTAGGAAAAACAAACTTCTTTGGCTATTATGCTCCTGAAAGCCTAAAAGGCTAATGCTTTTCTCATTTTCACTCAAGCATTAGCTGATTTTTTTTCAGTCACATGAAACAGAGTTATACAATGGAAAAAGGCTCAACCGTCTTGATTGTTTTGTATTTTACGATTTTGTTATCTTCACAGTCGCGTCTTGTTTTAACATGATATCTTGTTATGCTATTATTGCGTTTTTTATTAAAATAATGCTATGGTATATGACATGATTATGATGATCATACAGCGGAGGGAATAACAACCCCTTGCATTCAGTGTCGAGAGATATGACAGATATGGTATGCATGCTTATGATGAATAACAATGAGGTGCACTGAACTATTATGAATTGTGGATTCACGCATGGCAAAACACTAAGCGCTGGTGAAGCTGTAGGTCTTAAAGAAATTGTTTTAAATAATTAGCCGCTTCTAAACTTCGGAGTTGTTTGTAAATATACCAACACGTAGTTCTAGGTATCTGGACAAACTTTTGGTTTCTAGACTTTCGTTTGTTCTCAACGAACTGACAGTTTGGCTGTTTAGATTACAACATGTGTGTTTTAAAGTAATTAAGTAACTACAGCAAGGACCAATGTGACCTTTTGAAACGAATCTTACTTAAGCTTATTAAAATTCCGTTTCGTTGATTATTCCATTACTTTGTAATGTAAGACCAAGTGTGCATTTGGATGTAATTATATAGGCATGCAAAGAATGAAATTGGCGTCGTCTAATCTAAATAAGAGATTTTCATTGAAGAGGCAACACATAAAAAACCTTCCTAGTTTTCTCTTTACCTGTTGTCGTTACCTGCTGTTGTCTGGTGCTCGGCATTAAGGAGCTAAAACAAGGACTGGTCGGCTCGGAGTCAGTTTACTGTGTCTGAGTGGGGTATTCATGTTAAACTGCGACATGGTATCTCAATGAGTTAGCGCTATAAATCGGCATCAGTCCTGACTAGTACAAGCACACACACACACGCACGCACTCAGGCACGCACATACACACAAGCTATATAAGTGCAATAATCTTGGACGCGACGTTAAACCCCATTTCACTTCACCTCACTTAGCCTGTCACACAATGTACTTTACACGTGTTACCAGGATAGGGATATAGAGACATTTTCATCCAGAAGTTGGTCGTAGGCGTGTTGGTCTCCATCAAATGTCAGTGTCTGTGAAGACGTCACCTAAAGGTTGCAGTTCCCGGCAGCTGGGACAACCATATGAGACGTGCGCACTTGGGAACTTGCATCTACAAATAGTATATTGTTAAATATACAAATAGTATATTGCCCTTCTAGCAATATTTCAGCAATATCAGAAATGGGCTTCATACATTGTACCAATATGGGGAATCGAACACGGGCATTCGGCGTGACGAGCGAACGCTTTAACCACTAGGCTACCCCACCAGCCCAGTGTATTATGAAAGTTTTCATTTGCCTGTTGGTCTTAATAACTGTAAATATTTAATTAACGATTTGTGTTGTAGGGATTCCTGTATCATTTTAATATAATTCCGCCATTGGCTGGAAATTAGCAATGAAAAGCTTGATACAATAACATGGCTTTCCTTTTGAGTGATGCCAAATATACATTCGGAACGTCAATACCAGATAATTATAATCAATCTCGTGTGTTTGTCGGAACAGATTCCATGGGACTTAAAAGGCAAAATGATGATTATATGGAAATGGATCACAGAAAATCAATGATGACACTAGGTGATAAGGGCTCGCATGTCCTGATCCAATAGTAGCACCCGTAATCTATGTTCTGTATGACAAACGACGTGTCATATTTCTCCGAATGTCCACCGTGATATATTTGTAATGCCATCACCTGGCCCATGATGGCGTAACATTGAATGAAAAGCTCATCTATGAGGAAAAATGGTTTCTTTCTAAGAAATATAACAAATACACGTGCCCTAAAATACATAAGCAACCTAGACATGCTGACGTCATAAGCTAGAGCTGATGGCATGTTGCTCGACATGAAGGGATAATTCACGATTGGAAAATCTAAATCATCCCGTCGAACAGCTTGGTACAGAGGCTGCCATCGTTATTATTTCAATGCAAAGATCTAGATGAAGCACTGAATAAGGTTTCATAGTGGGAACTGCAAACTCAACACTAACATTCACCTGAAACATGTGCAATGTCCTCCACTAATTAGCCCGGAGAGTGGACGGTCCGGGGTTCGATCCCCGGTCGCGTCATACCAAAAGACGTTAAAAGATGGTACTTGTTGTTACCCTGTCTGGTGCTCGGCATTAAGGGGCTAAAACAAGGACTGGTCGGCTCGAAGTCAGAACACTGTGTCTGAGTGGGGTATTCATGTTAAACTGCGGCATGGTATCTCAGTGAGCTAGCACTATAAATCGGCATCAGTCCGGACTAGTACAAGCAGCCACACACACACACACACACACACACACACACACACACACACACACACACACACACACACACACACACACACACACACACACACACACACACACACACACACACACACACACACGTGCATGCACGTCGCTGTATAAGTGCAAAATCTTGGACGCGACGTTTTAACCAAATTTCACCTCGCCTCACCACAAATTAACATAAATATAAGCTGAGGTACATGTCTGTATCTGAGCGACAAACAAACACTCCATCGTTTGCCTATACACACTGGTGTCTTTACATACTCGATGTTTATGAGACATACCAAGAACTCAATCACAGCTAAAGTAATGGCCTGACATATGAAGTGTCTAATCATCAGTAATAATTCTTGTAGCTCATAATAGGTAAGCTATTCCAAGATGTCATTAGATTTCCAATAAGGTCCCTGAAGTACATATGTTTCGTTTCCGACATTATACAAACACGGACGAGGGTAGCAATCAACTTGAAGAAGGTTACAAATATATCTGAATAAAACAGTTATTTAATGTCGTTGTTTCCAAAATAACCTTTTTTGCGCGATCTAAATCCTTCGACGTTAGTATAAAGATACCGACACGTTGATTTCTTTTTTCCAAAAAACAAGCTATAAGTACTTTTCTGGAGGGATCACATGATTTGTGTATCAACCACTCTCTCTCTTTCTCTCTAAGAAACTTCAAAGTGCGTCAAGTGACGGTTATCCAGGGTTACACTATTTAAAGGCTTAGTTAGGTTTTCAAAAAGTTTAATGGGATACATGTGGAGGACATTTCCGAATTTGAGGCATCCATGACCGAAGGTCTGATGCAATTCCTTATACTGACTTGTACCATATGTTCCGTGTTTGTTCAGGTGAACCCTTGACTTGCCTTTGCAAGTGTTTATGACGGTTACCACTGATAACAGGGTACGCTCACCTGTTTTGTGAACACATAGTATTATCCCCAATTAATAATAAATCATATACACATGCTTAGGATATAGTCATTTGTACATGGTTATAGACAGGATGTTGCCGCGTTTAGTTTGTTTGTTGGAACATGCTTATTATTGTAAGTTGTATGACTGATATGTCCCGGTTGTGGCCGACTACATTAGTACTCACATAAATAAACCACATTTCTCATCTCATGTGAACAAAATCTAATCAATATACCAAAGTCCAGGAAGGATGGACGTTTCATTTCCTTACATCCGATGTCCCCACGCACGTGAACACCTATGTTAATTATCCTGCTGAGGGGTTAAATTGGATTGGTCATCCGATAATACACTCAATGTGACCATGTTATATCCGCAGTTGATTCTACACGTTGCATTTAATTCGTATTATATATCTCAAAGACCAAACATCGATCAAATCATATTTAATGATGACGTATAATAGGTCTGGACGTGTTTACGTGAATATTGATGGGAGTCGTCCAGCAGAGAAGACATTTATATTGTCTGAATAACAGATTATTCTTTTGGCGTATTACTGGGAGCATGTTCAGCCTCATATACAGATTTACTAAACAATTTAAACGTGCCAAAAAATATGGTCGTGATTCGAATCCTCAATTGGCCCTGATTGTGTTTCTGTAGCCTTGTGTTCCTATGTTTCCCCAAAGTGGTCGACGTCTAAGATATGCATCACATCGGTCATTCCTTCCGAGACTGCCTGACACGCTGGTAACTGACATACTGCTTGAAGCGGCGTCAAACCGAACTCTCACACTGAGTAAACTAAGGGATTAAGACAACTGGATTAACTTGAATACTTGTAATACGATGTAATACAGTTCACTCAAAGTACTGGTAAGGCTGAGTTAATAATCAATAATCACAATGTTCAAGTTGATTTAAACATGTACCTATTCACGTGGCACTACCTGGACTGTATGTCATCGTATACCAATTTCGTGGGTCGATGCTCATGATGTCAATCACTGGATTGTCTGGTCCAGGCTCGATTATGTACAGGCCACCGTTATATAGCTGGAATATTGCTGAGTGTGGCGTTAAACAGCAAAGAAACAAACCAGCACTGTAGACAGAGGCCAATGCTTGCTGTCCTCCACAGTGAGTGAGTGAGTGAGTTAGGTTTAACGCCGCTTTTAACAGTATTCCAGTTATATCACGGCGTGTCAGCTTAATGTGGGAGGAAAGCCCAAAGTGATGCAGGTCTCAGACGTTTACCACTTCGGTGAAACCCACGAGCACGGGTATGGTGCTGACAAACCTAGAAACATAATCGGGGCGAACCGGGATTCGAACCCACAATCATAGGTTTCTGGCGTGCCCAAGGGACGCAATTCTGCACATCGAATCGCGGCGCCTTAGGCGACTGGGCCCCCCGTGCCCCCTGTCCTCCACAGAGATCCTTGCGACTGTTCCTATGTGTGGATCTCCGATCGATCCTCGACCGATCCTGTCTGATCTTGAAATCTCACGAGGACATGCTTGCCTGTCATGAAACCAATATAATTATCTTTAAACAACACTGTTGGGGCCAAATGCAGTCGTATCAATCGTCGTCACTC